AATCCACAATTAAATCGGAACCTTTTGCATTGACTGACAGTTCTCAGCTGCAAGTTGGCAACTCAAGCGACTGCCCTTGAATACTAATTAATACACTGACTCATAGCATTAATTAACACTATACATTAACAGAGAATCAGTACATTACAGTACCTTGCATTATCACCATAGATACAGTCCAAAAAATAAACCACAAATATAACAACATTTCCAAAAGAAATTTGGATATAGTGTAAAAGAGATGGTATATACCCTGTGTTATCGATCATAATATTGATAATAATAAAAGGTTTTGCACAGTTTGACATTGAGGTAGGAACAAATATTTAGTTCAAGGGTACATTATCACTTACTTTAATGTCAAAATAATTAAATCTGATAAATGCCTTGTTTGACCACACCATCTGCATGCTTGTGCGTACAGTGACAAAAGAATGTGATTTATTTTTGCATCAGTCTCTGCAAGGACCAGCAGACTATGGTTAATTCATCTTTAAACTGGGTGCTCTGGTAGGCGGTTCATGCATTCTTAATATGTTAAACATTAGTCTATGCTTCCATTCATCATAATTCATTCATCAGTCAAAGTATCAGCATGCTTGTGGCCTGTTTGTGTCTTCAAGTGTCTTTAATCCTCCTTAAGTACTTTGGAATTCAGAGTTCAAGCAGGGTTCTGTTTTAGCCAAATGAACGGATCTGAATGAGTGAACTATATCTGAGTGAATAAACTGCTCCATGGCGCACCATAAAATGATGGGATTAGCGCCCATTCACAGATAAGAAAGGTACTCACGGGTTCCATCGAAACGAGTGGCGATGGTGTCCAAGAAGGTGTTTTGGTGGCGCATTCAGACCCCGCAATCCACCGGCATCCGAGGCGGGTCGAGCCCGCGCGGTCCTCTCCGCCGCTCCGAGCCACCTTGGCTCTCGCCGGCGGTGGACACGAAGCCCGGCAGGAACCTGGACGAGGTCCCCGGCGCTCCTCCTAACCCATGGAGGAGGGCGCCGAGCCGAGACACCCGGGACTCCACGGTCCAAAAGTGTAACGCCGACCACCGAGCAGGTGATCCCGGCTGAAGAGGAGGAGAGCGGAGCCGCTGGAGGCTGGAGGGGAGAGGACGGAGGGATGGAGGGATAGAGGGACCACGGCGAGTATGGTTACATTTACGCACGGGTGTGTTGCGATGCAATCCCTCTCTCCTCCTCCCTTTCCCTCTCTCTTTCTCTGTTTCTCTCTACACACCGACTGTTTCTCTTCGTCTTTCCATTCGCGTCTTTTTTTTTAAGCCTCCTCTTCCTAGTGCACCAGCCTCTCTCTATCTCTTTGAAATTCTATCAGTCTCTCTCCATCCTTTGATGCTCTGATGAATGCCTGTTTCAAGCGGGTCAATGAAAGTGTTATATTGTCTTTATTTTGCGTGTTACTTCAAATATCCAGCGCTTTCTGTCAGGTTTCACTCTTGAACCTGCGAAATTGCAAGACTAATCCACCTCTCTTTGTGATTAATATCATATTTCTACATATATTACACATATTCCACTGTGTGCATGTTCATATGTGAATGTTTCACATGTGCAACGTGTTCTACATGCTTTTTTGTATGTGTGTGATGCACATTCAAGTCCACATTCTATATTTTATTCATACAATCTATATGCACACTGCTGTTGTGCAGGGCCAAGAGTATGAACTGGAGAAAATGATTAAAGACCTGCTGGGGTCGAGTTTGCATGTTCTCTGGTGTCTGTGTGGGTTTCCTCTGGCTGCTCCAGTTTTCCCCCACAATCCATGCAGGTTAGATTAATTGGCAAGCAACTCTTAATTCCCCTAAAAGGTTCCCGAATGTTGACG